CCATTGTATAGTCTATGTTCAAATCATGAACTACATTCGTGTGTGGAGTTTTACTGGAAAAGTCAATATCTTTATGTAATCACATCTATGATATGATTAAGTATTGTGACATCTACAATCTATTTGTGGTATCCGGTTAATCGATTTTATAGTGAATTAGATGAAAAAATAGAGGTTGAGCAAATTTGTCTTGGTTGTGTGCTGCAATGGATGTAGTGAATGTGTTAGTAATTAGGCTTAAATATACATTTGGAACTTGAGCCAGTTGGATGCAAGTATGTCGATCGACTTGAGATGATAACGAATGAATTAAGGATGAATATATCATTGATGACTGCATGTAATAAATCCCGCAAAAATTATAGCAAAATTTTGTTCCATAAACTGTTAATGTAATATTGAATGATGTACAAGGTTATTGGGTTTACCAGAATATGGGTATAATCCTATTTATGTATTTTGTTTGATGAATTCTATGTGTAAGGTACAATTTTCGATTGTAATATAATTCACGTCACTCAATCCTGCATAAGATTGACCACTATGATAACTTTGGTATAACAATGAACACAATCCATTCTTGTCAACAACTATGTTACAAGGCATGGACGCTTATAACTGAATATATACATAAATGTAAAATATAAGCGATAGCAGGAATTTAAAAATAGTATACATATACCTGTAATGTATCGAAGTAATGGCTAAATGATGAGAAATTGATTAAAACTTGAATCTATAATAGAAACCAGATCACATATATAGGGCTACCGAGCATCAAATTCGATAAATAATATTCAAATCTACAAAAAATATGACTAGCCACATGGTTTCGAGTTTGATGAACCTTTTCATCGACAGAGAATTCAAAGTCAAACCACAATAAGATGATCGAGAACAAAGTTGAGCCAAACTTAGTTGCTTCTAATTGACTTTTGTCATACTAGCAAATTTGAAAAAGGATAGCAGATTTTTAGATGATGAGCGAAGACAGTGGTTTAAATCCAACTGTTGAACAAATCAATATCATGATTGATCTCCTTTGTCAATCATGCAGGCTGGACGAAGCTTTTGAATTATTACATGGGATATTCGAAATGTAAGTATTATTCATATTCCAAATTGGGAGAAGAAATGTGTTAGAGGCTTTTAGTGTTGGAGCTTGAAAGTGAAATTTCAATTTGTTATTTTTTCCAACATATAGACAATGGAAGTGGAAGGAAGTGAGGAAGATCAGAACGGTAGAGAGGAAGAAAGGACTTAAGAAACTCCTCCATAATAGTTTGACATGGGTGATGTAAAAAGCTAGAAAAATGATTCTTACTTGGCTATTCTTTTAGCAATCGATTCTACTTTGATACTTGGTTAGGCTACTCTAGTTTCATAGAAAATTCGACGGTGAAGAAATTGAAGAAAAAACTTGGACGAAGAAAGTTTTTTTGGAAAGGAAATTTTGGGTAAAAGACAGGGAATGAAATTAGGGCGGTATTATTGTGCATGAAATGTCGATTTGTGCAATTATAGAGGAAACTAATTAATTTAGAGTGATCTACGGATAATATGTCAAATTATATTAGGGAGTTAATTGATTTTCAAGTAATCAATTATACTAATAGTTTCTAGTATTCCTAGGAATAAAATTAGTGATATGTATATTCTAAAATTTTTACTTAAAAGAGTTGTGTAGTGTAATTTTCACTAAAAAAAATTGAATTTTCAAATTTTTAAGCTGAGCGGCAAGCAAGCAAGGAATCAATAATTGGAAATTTGGATTCTTAATTTCAAAATTATAGGGATTAACATATAATTAATCTGAAAGTACAGATTTTTTTAATAGAATTGGTACAGGAAAACAGCTGTCTTTATATTATTTGTAGCATTGTTCATCAAAATAGTACATACTAAACGTAAACGAAAACTAAACGGACGAACATGATAGGCCCCGAATAGTTCCAGTTCACGGGCTCAAACTTGTTTTAACAGCCAATCTATGCTTGGCCTGCTAACCGTGACGGGCTAATCTTTCACCAGAACCGAGCTTGTCCATTTTTACGCCACTAACAACTAAGCCGGAGCCTCCAGGGGGCGCAACTTGGTAATTATACTTCAGTTCCACTTCAGGCAAACTCATTTTACAGATCAACAATGCCTCAAATTTTAAAATCTTAGACTCAATGTTTTAATTTACACTATAGTTATTATTATTGCACCATAATATAACCATAAATGAATTACGTCAATCATTTTTTATAGCATTTTCTTCCTCTAATATAATGACGTATTCTTATTTACAACCTTCCATTTATAAACACATCTCGCCTCTAATAATGATTTTCATCCAAAAAGTTCATTCAAAAGATATAAAGCAACTTACACGCTCATCATATTTTAAAAAACAAACAAATACAAAAGTCCGAAAAAATATTTTTCTCTCATTTTAAAATATACAAAATAATAATAATAATAATAATAATAATAATAATAATAATAATAATAATAATAATAATAATAATAATAATAATAATAATAATAATAATAATTTCACATCATGAAGAACAATACATGCTAATTAATCAAATGTTGAAGATAAGAACTCAATGAAAAAAGTTAAGAAACACAAGTGATAATATGAAAAGATTGATGCAACTAAAATTAAGTGCTATAATATTAAGTGCAATTAAAATGTGATACAAGAAGTAAAATTCTTGGTGTGAATATATTTGACATTATATTCACGCCTTATGTTTTAATTATTGCACTAAAGTTTAATTGTAATTAAAATCTTAATTTTCTCGTTATAAAACTTCTGTTCCTAACTTTTATCTGCAACATTTACATTAATTAACACATCTGTCACTAATAACAATTTCCCAAAGGCATAATAAGCAACCGAAAATATTGTTTTGTACGATGACTCTTTTCATTTGTTATTGCAGTTGTCACCTCTCAACAACAGAAGAGACTGAATCAACTTGGAAATATGTCCAAACAATGTTAAGAATGACAATTCGAACTGTCAAAATCGAAAATCGCAATTAATCGAATTGAATGGAACTAAAAAAATCAAGTTGATATGGTATTTGATTTTAATGCCCCCAATTAGGGGTGGCAGGGCTGGCCCTAGAAATTTAGAGGCCCTAGACGTTTAATTATTATGAGGCTCCTCGACACAAAATTTATTTTACAAGTCTAACAATATGTAAATATTTAAATAATTAACACTCTTATATTAGTAGATAGAATGGAAAAAGAAATGTTTCTTACACTTAAAAAACTAAAAATATTTTAAAAAATATGGAACATAATTAGAGCACGTTTATCCAAATTACATTCGAAGAAAAAAAGTAGACATAGGATGATAAGAAAATGAACTAAATAATTTATAAGATGCACTTTCACTTTCATAATAAGATCTTCATGTAAATTAAAGCTTAAATATCTGATCTGTACATATTTTACCTTTAGACTCACTGCTAAATTACTCAATAATTTTTTTTGCAACTTCATTACTTTTACTTAATAGGTGTAATAAGTACTTAAAGATCAGGATTATATCCACACACAGACACGTATCTAGAGAGAGATGGAAGGTTGCCAAGAATTAAAATCACAAAATTCTTGTACATAAACTTTTCAAATCCTTGTCCCAACTCCCAATCACGTGTAATGCTTTCTGTATGAATCAGTCACAATGCAATTTTATTTTTATTTTTATTTTTTTTAAGAGATGAGGCCCCCTACAACATGAGGCCCAAGGCAGTGGCCTCACTTACCTTGGGCTAGAGCCAACACTGCGGGGCGGGATGTGTATGGTATTTACGCCGTTGCTCCATTCCAAACCGATTACCCGTTAATAAAAAAATTAATTGGACAATAGAGTTTTCCATTATTCTTTTTTTTTTATTCTATCTAGCCTAAAATTTCGGTCCATTACCGACCTTCTAAATCCAACTAACCTAGCCCAGTAACCTACACTCTACTACACAAATATTAAACATATATGAAAATTGTTTGTTAAATTCGAATTTTGCATTTAGGAATTAGAATATTGTTTGTATTTTCATTTGGAATATTGTTTGCTAAATTGACTTAGTATTTTATTTTTGTTTTCATTGACCTTTTTTTTCAAAAATTATTTTTTTCCAATTGGACGACTGAACCAATAAAAAAGAATTTATTTTCGTGGTTATTCATCGCCCAAACTGAGATACGGACTGAACCAACTTATGTTGTTATGATATAACCAAAAAATTAATGAATGGATGATAATTGGCCAAACTGACCCGTTGCCAACCTAGGCAATGTCCATATTTGGCCCCCAATTTTTTTAAAATTCGTTTTTTCTTTTAAAATTATTTTCAATCACACATTTTATAAAACATGCAACTTTCATCAATTTTTCAATCACATATTTCATCAACTTTTATCAAAATCTATTAGAGATCTTATTTATTTTGTAGCCCCCATTTGGCCCCCATTTTTTCAAATCTTTTATATATATAAATATTTAATTTTTTCCTGAAGAATCAATGATTGAAAAAGAATAAATAATTTTCGATTTACGTGTAATATTATTTTATAAAAGATTGTGTAATTAAAAATATAAAAAGAGAAATAAAATTTAATTTAATGGAGGCCAATCAAGGGGCAGTCAAACGAAACAGTGGCATATAAATCAGCTTAATTCAATCATATCTGAAGTATCAGTACTATAACCCGGAAACGTAAAACTTTAAGGGGAAAATAATGTAAGAAAGCATTGTTTCTTTTTCTTTTCTTTTCTTTTCCTTTTTCCCTTTTTCAATACTGGAACCTAAGATAATAGAAAAAATCAAAAGAAAAAGAAATTGATAAAGCCTAGCTGGGACGCTCATCAAACAACAAAGAAATGGAATAATCTCTTTCAAAAAGCAATAACCGGAATTGTTTGCCTGCTAGCTTTAAGCAAACAGAGTATCAAGAATTAAAGATGTGAATATCAAATTAAAAGGCACAAGATTAGGTAAACGGCTGATATGGGTTTCATGATTTTATCCAACATTTGATGCTAAAAGAAATAGGACAAATTGTTTCTAATAAATATAACTTTGTGCCCAACATCTGATTTTCTTGTTTAGAATTCAAGATACTAAAGCTTTCACCAATTAGAGTTGTTAAAATGGCAGGAATTTCCAGTCATTAAAGGGGTTCTTTCTTTTGATTCCTCAAACCAATATGGTTGCCATCTTGCTCGTACACACTAAAATTTAACTGTGAAAAAAGAAAAAACTGCACATGGCAAGATTCTGTTCCTGGAAATCTCATTTATTTGTGTTCAGCGTCTACATGCACAAAACTACTGTCAAGAGAATCTAGTTCTTTTTTTTCAAAATCCATAATGTCGAACACTTCGGAAAAGCCTTCAACTTTCCAAACAATGCCCATTGAAATCCTTGACCACCTTGAACCATCAATCCCAACCTGAAATATTCCATAAGTTGTATAAAAAGTCCAATTTATTTCATAAGATGACAATCACTAACAAACAGCGATTGAGTTTGGAATCTTAGAAGGGAACTTAGGGTTATAAAGTAAACAGTCGAGAAAAATGAAGGTGCAGATATCACTTGAATGCTAATAATGTTATCCTGAATTCAGATAAGCAATATCCTGAACTCAAATATGCAATTTGTCAGCAAAAAGAAAATTATCAACAGCATTCCCTCTTGTCAAAAACAAATGGAAACTAAAATACAGAATCTAAATCAGACTCTAGCTTATCATCCTTACAAGAATGAAGTATTTAATGAACATTCTGGCTTCTTTTGGGCTGTGGGTAAGGATTTTAGAATATAAAGCACAAAACACGACCCTTCAGATATTTTATCAAAAACTCTATCCGGAAAAGTTGTTTAACGATTATTGAAATCCCTACAAATTGACCATCTATAGAAGTGAGTAGTCAATCATATGTTAATAGAAACAGTCAATATTCACAGAAGTACATCCAATGACCAAAACTATTTACTATGAATTGTTCAGATTTATATTACAGTGTAATTATTTTGTCCTAACACACACCAGGTAACATGTCTTTTTGAGACACTTAGAGATAATCAACACAAAATGATCAATAGGTCCATTCAGTTGTTGGTCCCAGAGGAACCCTATTAAAGATTGTACCATTTTCATATTCTTAATTTCCTTATAATTGTTATGAAACTGCTTGTATGTCCTCGTTAACTAATAGAGCATCTCCCAAAGTTAAAGGAGAAACAAAATATACAAAGTAAAAAGATACAAGTACTGTAGACACTTTTAACAAATTAATGGTCGATTCAAATTCCAACAAACAAAGGAAATACTCTAATCAAGATCAGATACAACAGGATATGCCATATGATAAATAAGAAATAAGTACTATGGCATTAAAAAATAATGATAAACGAATAAAGCAAGCCAAAATTACATTGACACATTAAACACAAACATGTTGGTGATCAAGATTGATATATATATATATATAAAGGTTAAACATAGAGAGCATTTCTACAGTTTCCATTATTAAGAGGAACATGATTGATAGTGAACTAGGAAGCTAAAAACTCGTGATTACAATAAAGGAAAATTATGAGCTCAAAACATAGATTAATGACAAACTGCCTGCCTTAGAACAACAACAAACAATACCTCTTCAAAATTCAAGGCTTTGACGACTTCAAAACATCTAAAACTTGCTTTATACGTGTGTGAATGAAGTCCAGCTTCTTCAGGTAGAGTGCAGTCTCCTCCGCTCTCAGCTTTTTCCACTCTCTTTCCGTCTCAACCCTCTTCTCCTCTTCAATCAATTCCACCCCAGTCCTTAAAATCCAATCCTCAAAATTCCCACCATGGAACCTCACACTCTTCCCCGCCACAATCTCTGAATCACCGTTCGCATTCTCCACAAATTTAGCTTCCTTTGAATCCCCAGTTTCGACCATAGCCCTCTTACTTGGAGTTTTCCTTGCAGCACTGCTCTGTTCCTTTGGACTCGAAATCACTTTCTCACCCTCATTATCATTACCATTCTCATTGCCCCATATCTTTTTTGACAATTCATAAGCTTTTTGCTCGTGGGACTTAGTAAAGGTCCTCTCTTTACTTTTATTATTGACGTACTTCTTCTTCAACCTCCGAATTTTGGCTTGCAACTGAGCCCTAGTCACATCAACATGCAAATTTTTCCTAATAAAATCATGAAATGCATTCAGATCAGCAACAGGATAAGTCTTTTTCTTCTCAATGTAATCAATCATGCCTTTAAGAACCACAATCTCATCATCCTCACTCCACAGTCTCTGGAATAGCTGTTTCTTGGAATCATCGTTCGATTTTTTCTCAGAATTTTCGGCGTTGATCTCTGGTTTTTTCTTTGGCCTCTTAGAGTCCTTAACATCACTCCCCTTCTCCATAGCAGGGCGTTCTTCTGCGGACTTTGTCGGGGCCGTGGGTTCGGACTGACTGGGCTTGAACTTGAGCTTCTTGGTAGCGGTTTCCTGTGGGTCCTCCATGGACCTGGAGGAGGCAAGGGGCTTGACAGCTGGGTCGGGTTGGTCCGACTCCGATTCAGATCCGGTTCCAGATTCGGACTCTTCTGAAGAGGAAAGATGAGGTTTTGGGGAAGAGGAAAAATTGGGTTTCGTAGGGGCGGGTGCAGTAGAGGGCTTTTTGGTAATTTGAGGTTGGGATTCCTCTAGTTCAGAGTCGGATTCGGAGGACCCTATTTCTTCAGATGAAGCGTCGTCTTCTTCAGTGCCGGATTCCAGAGCCATTTCTGGTTCACGATTTTTAGACATTTTGTGTAATTGCTGGAGAGTGAGAATTGAGAATAGTTTTTGCCTTCAGAAGTTAGGGTTCTTTCAGTAAAAATTGAGTAAATTGTGCCCTCCGACCCCAGCCTTCGTAATTTAGCACGTCTACCCCTCCAACCTTTATTTCTTGACATTTTGTTCGTTAACCTTTCATAAATTAGCGACTGTGGTCCTCGTTAACAAAATCGGTCCAATTTCCACAACACCTTTTAGGAAAAATTGCAGTGCCGATCCAAAACCTTTCACTTTGCTGCAAATTACACCCCAACCTTTCATTTTTGTGGCTACAGTCTCAAACCTTTATATTTAATTCCAACTGTAGTTCAAATTATTGATTCCGTCCACAATACCATTAGTCAATGTTGAAATAGTAATTTTGACCCAAATGGACAATATTCGTAGAAATCTTGCAAGCGTACGAATTCGTTGTACAAGTAATACTCGTGATGAGATAGTAATCGTCCCACATGGAATAAGGTTGAATTCTAGTATATTTAATATATTTAAATCAGTGCTTGTAATCAAAAGATGACTGGTGAATATTTGATTAGGTTTTGTAACTAAAACTTGTAAATCAATAAAAGTTTGGTTCAAAAATCAAATGAGTGATTATATTGGATTTCCAATGTCACTTATCAATTCTTAGTTCTAATTCTCAATTAATAATAATTATCTCAATTCATGCAATTATGACGATCGATAATTCCACTTTTATTTATAAATTATTTTCAAGATATAATAAACCTATGATTTTCACGAGACGATCTTATTCTTAGTTCGAATTCATATGGAAAACATGTATTGATATTTAGGATTATCACACATGATCGCACATGCCATAAATATTATTCCTCATATTTATTGCTCTGTGCGTTCTAATAACAGTGCTCTGTCTATCATGAGTTTTTCAACACTAAAAATAAGCAACTTATAATTCTAATGGTACGCAACATTAAAACAATATAATTATGCATATTAATGGAATCACAACGCATCAAAGAGTTTTGACATCCATCCAATACAAAGGATTTTAGCCTAACATGTTAATGTAAGAAATACAAGAAAAAAAAACACCATTCGAATCGTTAAACTATGAAGAAAATCTGGAAATCTTGAATTAATGCCTTCAAATCCGGATCCAAAATTCTTCATTCTTCAATGTATATTCTCTCTATTTCTCCCAAAAGTCATCTTACAATCTGATCAGAATAAGGTCTAGATGTGTTCTCCTATTTATCTGGTGCCAAGGAGACTCCTTACCAAAATAAAATAAGGAAACCTAATTTTTCGAGTTTAACATTAAGGGGCACGCCTTTCCTAAGTTTCAACAGCCGAACGGTTTTCAATATTTTTTGTCATAACTTTCTCTTTCGATGTCAAATTGAGGTGATTCAAAGTGAGTAGGAAAGCTTACTTAAAGGGATACAATTCTTTTAGAGATATCATTTTTTCAATTTGAACGTTTGCTATGTCGAAATTGGGTGGGTTTCAATATGTGGCCGAAAATCCAAAGCATAATTTTTTCGGCTAAAAGTTGATATTTGATAATATTTTGACTATAATTCATCCCTTTGACTTATTTTCTAATCCAATTGACTCTAAGCACTCTCAAATCTTTATCGTGGGGTTTGAAATAACTTTTGAGTAGTTGTCTTTTAGTTTCCAAACTTTGGATTTGCTTCATTTTAGTCCTTTGATGTTCTTTCTTCTAATTCTTCTTTGAAACATGAACTTTTCCTAATAAAAATAATAAATAACAAACTAGGTACTAATCCATCCAAAAAATAACAAAATATTATCATTTAGGATTCAAAATAAGTGTAGAAACTACACTTACAGACAACTTGAGTGAGAAGCAAATTTGTCAAAAAAATAATGAACGTTTTCTCCAAAAACACTACCCCACACCAAAAATTTAGACACCAAAATTTAGAAACCCAACGTTAATTGCCACCCATCTACTCGATGTCGTACTGCCCATCATCACCATTGTAAATACCACCACCATCGACCGAAATCTCAAACAACAATACACAATCACTCAAGCTGTCTTCTCTAAAATTGTTAGTTTACATTTTGGATAATAAAAATTTTAAACTAATTAAATTATATAAAAAGACTATTGAATGTGTATGGCCTAGCACCTGTAAATCAGTACTCTATTTGGCTTCTTCTTTTTTGTCTTCCATTCAAGCATTGGTGGTGATGGTAGAGACGGGGTCGGAGGATTTATGATTTGTGGCCGCGACAAGAACAAAGATTTGCATCGTGATTTGTGGTGGTGGGATTGCGCAGAGGAGGAGGAAGGAAAGGGTTCAGGAGAATCAGCCCCTGCCATCCTCAAATAGTGTGAGAATATATACAAACTTGTATAGAATTGGTAAAAATTAATGAGATACAAAGAGAATAAGGAAGAACAAGACTGGAATAATAATAGGGTAATATGTCTTTCTTAAGCTTTGTAGGTTAATTTTTTCATCCAAGTACTCTTCTTGAATTTCTCATAAGAGTTTTTAATTTAGGAGACCCAATTTGTGTTTCATGGTTTAGAGAAAAGACAATAATTTGAGATTTCTTAATAAGGTTTTTAGAGATAGAAAATGAGAATTTACAGGTCAGAAATGGGAAGGGTGGGGGACGTGGTTGAAGAAGATGATGAATAGTTCTTTATATGTATTATAGAAAATGTAAATTGATAATTTTACCCCTTATTTAATTTATGAATTTGAGTCAAACATTTTATGTAAGGATTGATTAACGGACAAGTGGATAGAACCTATTAATGGACTTCCGCCACAATGGAAGTTAAATTTTTGGGATTGCACTTGCAAAATAAAAAAGGTTTAAGGAGTATTTTGCAATAAATGAAAGATTTGGGGAAAATTTCAAATATAGGCCAATTAAAATATTTTGATTGAATATATTTTTCAACCACGAAGTATAAAAATGCATACAGTATTTCCTTTTTAGTGTATCATACATCGGGCAAACAATTAGGTTGTGTTTGATACGGTCAATTCCATGGAAAATGAAAATTCTATTTTTCACTCAAATTGTAGTGTTTGATAGCACACTTTTTTCATTGGATTCATTTTGTTGATTGTCTTGAAAATTGTTCTTTTCTTGGTTTTCCTTGAAAACCAAATTGGTTTTCCCCCCTACTTTGACGTTTTTTTCTTCCTTTTTTTTTTTTTTTGGGTCTAAGAATTATTGTAAAAAAAAATATTTTCCTTTAACTAAAAATTTTCATGTAAAACACAGACAAACGAATAACAAAAGATTGATGATTTTCTTGACTTTCTTGATTTATTTATTTTTGTTGGCAATGGAAACAAATTTCATACCAAATATCAGTAAATTTTATCCTTTTAATTGATAATTTTCATGTAAAACAAAGCCAAACAAACATCAAAAACACTTTTATTTCAACATTTTTCACGTGAAAAATTATACCAATCAAGTACAATAATTTAAAATTCTCAGAAAAACAATTTCTAGGCAATTCATTTTCCTAAAATTCGTTTTCAATTCAATTCAATTTCATTTTTGCAATCAAACGGACTCTTAGAAAACTAGTAGTTTTCTAGAAAAGTTTGTACTAAATAATTAGAGTATTTTTATTTTTGTTTGCTTGTGTAGCCGTTGCCTTTTATTTTTCTAGAACATGGATCCTCACTTATAGTTTGTCTATTTGACTATAAAAAAGTCACTTGATTTTACGGCTACTTGATTTTAATTTCTTGAAGAATAATTAAAATTGATAAATCTTGACTCTAACGAAGAACGAATATCTACGTTTGGTTGTGGAAGATTAGAAGTTGTGAAGCAGCATCTAAATTATGTTTGTGATGGAGCCACAAAACATGATTCTTCCTATACTTAAAAGCACTAAAAAGAATATCAATTTCAACTTTTATATGTGAATCATCTCATGTAAGTGATGCGGCATATGGGAAATGCCATCCCTTTTTCTTGATTCTATTTTACTTTATTCGGGGATTTTGGGACGTTGGACTCTTCGGACATCGATAAGCCAAAGAAACAACTAGGAGGAATAGCAAAAATTGTGTTGATGTCTCCTTTTCATCCTCAACTTTTATTGAGATATTTTTTGTATAACGATCAAGAACTACAATTACAAGCACTAAAAGGTGTCAAATGGTACCTTAGTAATAGATATGTTGCTAGCTAGAACTCGGTCGAATTAGAATCACTGAATTCCTTTACTGTCAATTTCTTATTCATTCATAGCGCTCGTCAATGTTTAGAGAAACTCTCCGTTAAAATGAAAGCCGAAATCCAAAATAACTTTAAATTAAAGACAATAAATTTTGTTTATTTATTTATTCTAACTTGGGAGTAAGAAGGTCATTATCAGAACACGATTTAACACCCTTATCTAGACTTAATGTTTTTCGATTGGTTATTTATATGTCTGAAGGAACTTACAGACACACTGTATACTAAAAAAATTCTTCATTTTTTCCTGGTCTCTTGTAAGCGTGAATGTGGGTTGAATTTGACAAACCAAACTAAACTGACCTAAGTCAATGTGATTAATTTCCCAAACGAATTGACCCAATGTTTGGGTGTCGGTTCGTTTTTGTTTGATTTGGTTAGGTTATACTTGGGTAGATCAATGTAAAAATTGGCTAATTTTCCTATATTTGCAAGTATAAATTTCCTCAAAAAAATTATAACATGTAGAGTTTACAAGTAGAAATTTGCAAGCAATATATGCCAATAAGGGGGAAAAATCATTCAAAAACTATAAAGGCGAAAATAAGTAGAAGGGAAGTTGATAAATTGCTTGAGTTGAGAGAGAGAGAGAGAGAGAGACCTGACAAGCAAATCGGTAAATTCTCAAAGAGATGGATTTCAATTTTGATTTTTCCGATTTCTAATTTTGAATTTTTGAGATTTAAAACTTTTAAAAAAATATAATTTTCAGGTTGGATAGGTTTGGATTGAGTTTTTTAATCCAACATGAAACTCGAACCATCAGGTATAATTTTGCGTACAAAGCCAACTCAACTCGAACAAAAATTTAAGAAAATTGACTCGATTTGATTCGGTTTGAACGAATGGACGGCTAAAGTGTTTAGCCGTAGTTCCTAATGAAATTTACTAATCTCAAGTGGAAGGGGACCATATGCATAAAGCTTCAAAATTATTGTCACTTTTTCATGTCAATGTCATGGTTTGGATATTTTCATTGAATGGCACTCGTAGAGCCAAATAGCATCACCTTATTTTTTTTTCTTTGCATGCGCATCGACCCAATAGAAGCAAGAAACTTTTTCACACTTTAATGAAAGAATAATATATGTGAAAAGGAATATTAATATTGAGATGCTAAGTGCACACAGTGTGTATTTGATGCACTAGACACGGAAAAACAGTACATTTTCCCCCTAATGTTTTAATATATTAAGCCCTTATTTAATAGAAATTAAAATCAATTTTTTAATAAATATTAATAAAAGTTGATGGAATGTGTGGTTGAAAAATTGTCAATTTAAATTAAATTTTAATCAATTTTTTCAACAGTACCAAACAAATGCCAATTCAATGCTACTTGAAATCACAGTAATATTCAATATATATTCCTTTTTGAAAATAACATCATATTATCGTTCTTCATAGTTGACGTTGAATTCAAATCGCAACACAATCTGTGAACGCTTTAGTTGACTAGCAGAGTTGATAGAGTTTGACAACTTTAGAGACTTAAGTTTAACCTTAGTTTGATTTAGATAAAACAAATTTTTTATTAAATCTTGATATAATTTAATGAAATATATAATTTAAAAATTATAAATCTCATGAACTATGTTATCAAAATTAATAATTAACTTTGAATTAAATTTTAATTCACTTTTTACAAGGATTTAATCTCCTTTTAAATATAAACTGAAATTAAATATTAATTTCAATCACAAGTTCATTACATTACTCGTTATTATTAACATATTTTGTGGCCTCACTACCCTCCTCTTAATATTTCTATGTATGAAAAATTTATCTAATATATAATTCACCTCAAATTCAAATAATATCTTTAGTACTTGTTTGATAAAAATTTTATCAAATTTTCTACTGGACAAAGTTCAACTTCGCCACAAATTTTCTGTGATATGCAAATGATAAATGGCCGATGTGTATAATTTCTCGAAAAAAATCCCCCTCAATTACCAATATTTATTGATTTATAGTAAGTTAGATAGCGGGAAAGTAGTATATTTTTAGATAATTCTATCGATCAGGCAATCATCACGTGTTTATTGCATGATGAGTACCGTTTACTATCTATTTAGACTTTTTTTTTATTTGTTTGAGACACCTTATACACAATGTCAAAAGGTTAAAAAAACGCACTGGCATAAACAGAAGGTTTGAAATATGAATGTCACACATAGGAAAAATACTTAAAATGTATCAGCAAGTTCGAAATGATTCGTCACATTGTCTTTAATCAAAGCAAGGGGAAAATGTAGAAAAGCACACAATTCTTCACCAAATTTTCTAATAACACTAGTCTCAACTCTACCTCCATGCATTTCATTAATTTTTATGAAAATTTCCTAAAAATTCTATCAAGAAAACGCAAAAAAAAAAATGATTTCATTTTCATAAACCAGATATTAAAGTAAAGTAGTGCTTTTTTTAACAAACTGAATCTATGAGAAGAAGGAAAAGGACACGAGTACAAGAAATTTTACGTAGAATTTTTACTAACGTCAATGTGGTTGAAGATGATTGAATTGTTTTTTTTTTTTTTTTTCCAATCAATTTCTATCGATCAAAATTTTCTATCAATTTTTTCCGGGACTTGTAGCATGATTATAAAAAGAAACGCTTTTTGTGAGTGGTGGCGCCACCTGTGAGCCCAGTGTATAACTGTCAATACTCCACGCCCGCCACGAAAATTTTCTCTCTACCACTCCTTTCCTTTTCCAATTTTCCTCCCTAATCTTCCCTGTATACCACTGATTTTCTTCTCTCTTTACTTCCCCTCCAAAACAAACAAAATAGATCCATTGAAAAAATTACTTCCCGCGGTACCTCCGGCTCCGGTGGAACAACTCTTCTCGGGCGCCAATAAAATGGAGTCTATTCTGGAGGAAAATGGGAAGTCCTCCAACTGGCTTTTTGATTACACATTACTTGATGATATTCCAGTCCCCTGCGGCGACCTCCCTCCTCTTGAACCTAACACCTTTCACTGGACTCAACCACATAATGCTTTCGTCCCTCCTACCTCTCTCAGGTCTCTCTTTTTTTGCTCTTCACTTTAATTTGATATTTTTGTATATTAAATATTCACGTTTTAATGTTTTCGTTAATCTTTATTAAATACTGAAATCAGTGGATCATGTAGTTTCTTACTTCTTCTTCTTCTTCTTTTTTTTCCCCCCATATCAATTGTTTAATTTGATGTGGTTACAGCTCTTCAACTTTGATTTAATGTGTTATGCATTAGCTATACCTGAGTCTGAATTTTACTATTTTTGAATTGCGCAATCTAGAGCATCTTTGGCTAAGCTTGAGATAAAATGAGTAATTTTATTCCAAATATGTTTGGAGATCTTATTCTAAAACATACTTTCATACTTGCTTACAAGAAAACTTTTTAAGCTTATCCAAACATGATGGAATCAAACTGGTTACAAGATTGAGTGAAAATGGAGTTAATGTCCAATTGCTGCTAACATAGTTCTATTAAGAAAAGATTGAACACGCAGTGGCTATTCGCGTTTGGGTAGCGGTAAAAATTTTCAACCCAAGGAAATGTACTCAGAGAGGATGGATTTCACTATTTGGCAAAATTTATAAATCATTTGTGAATGGTCAAACTTCATTTTAACCACACATTGTTAACTATTCGATAGCTAGATGAATCAAAATGTTTGGCATGAATAGTTTCTTCTCAATATGAGCACATCCCCCTTATCTCTACCATGTTTCAGTGCGGAATTTGACGACTCTTTTGGAAATTCTGATGGTGTGAGGGAGTTGGGCTCAAGGAAGAGGTGTGTATGCAATTCATTTAACTTTATTTTTAATTTTTCATAGTTCAGTTTTCAACTTGGCTAACTGAAAGTAGGTCAGGTTAGCATATTTTACTGAACTAAATTTGTTTGGTACTATTTTCTTCCAATCAGTCCACTTCCTTCTTCTTCTTTTTTTCTTATTTATTTATTTATTTCTAACCGTGTTTTCGCATTTTTTCCGATTAGGATGAGGTCTGGAACTTGTGGTGCATCTGATTCCAAATCCCACAAGGAGAAAATCCGCAGGGATAAGCTGAACGACAGGTAATCTGGTTGCTTGCCTATTTGCATCTTTTGCCGATGAATCTATGTTTGTGTTTATGTTGACCTTGTTATTATATCAAGGTTCCAAGAATTGAGTTCCATCCTCGAACCTGGAAGGCCACCAAAAATGGATAAGGCTGTTATATTGAGTGATGCTGTTCGCATGGTGATTCATATACGGGAAGAAGCCCAGAACCTGAAAGAATCATACGAAAGTTTGCAAGAGAAGGTTAATGAATTAAAGGTGAGGCTTGTTCTTTCAGTTTGTTAGTCTAACATCCAAGTGCAGGTGCTCTATTATTTAGGAGGTTTCAATGCTATGCTCTGTGTATTCCTTGATATTACAATAATGTTGTAGGCCGAGAAAAATGAGCTTCGAAGCGAGAAGTTGAAGCTAAAAACAGAGAAAGAGAAACTTGAGCTTCAGGTGAAAGCATTGAGCACCCTCCCACCAGGATATTTACATCACCCCCATCCAATTCCCGCACCATTTGCAGCCTCACTTCCAGTTGTTGGCCGCAAGTTGGTGCCTTACGGTGGATACCCTGGAATTCCAATGTGGCAATACATGCCACCTACCGCTGTTGATTCTTCAGAGGGTGACGCTCTTCCTCCAGTTGCTTGAGTTTTGGTCGTTCTGCTTGAGTTCTGTGTCGACAAAATTGTTGACATTTCTTTTTCTCAAGGATTTTTGAGGCTGGTGATGTAGACAGATGATGATTATTTTGGAGAAACTAACAACTTCTATTGACTCCTAAAATAACGGTTGTACTTGTTAACAAAACCAGATAATTTTGCTGTTTCAGTAACCTTTCTTTTGTAGATTTATATTTACGAATATGTCATAAAACATGTGTTCATATAATATATGCTGAAATCATATGAACTGAAGTGAAATCTCTGATAAAAGGCTCAGACATGAGACATACATAAACTGATATACAAAGCTAACAGTTAACAAGGTTTCTTAAAACCCATGCTTTTCCCACTTGCGTAGTCCCTCCAAACATCGACTGCTCCGAAGCTAGTCATCAGAACAGTACTAAAAGCCATCACTGTACCAACGGAGAACACAATAATGGAGGCTCTCCCATGTTTTACCACAGCTCTTTGTACTAGGATCAATCCGACTAGCGAAGCAACAAAACAGATCACTGCAAAGATTAGGGCACCATAAATATGCTCCATCCCCAGCAATAGGTACTGAATTGCTGACATGGTTGAGGAGAAAAATACCATGAACGAACAGGTTGCTGCCGTAACCTGTACAATAACGCCAAAGGATTTCGTTCAGTACCTAGCCAATCATCGGAAACAAACATACAAAAAGCATTTTTCGAGGCAAAGAAGGTAAAATGACAAACTGGGTTGAACCCTAACTTACTTCAGGCTTTATTCCCATTTGGAGAAGAAGTGGACTTATAAGCATGCCACCTCCAATTCCAAAAACTCCTCCTAAAACCCCTGCTAGTAATGCCATTATTGGGAACACGAGGTTCTCTGATGATCGAGCTTTATTTTCAGCTTCTGTTTCCTTCATCAAGAAATATACATAATTAATCTTGAATAAGCAATAGCGTCTATTAACCCAGATGAGTAAACCTGACATTTAAGTTCAGATAATTATACCTGCTTCTGGAGGCTTTTCCTGCTGCACAGGATCCATGTCGTGAAAATTATGGCGAGAGGAATTTGGAGTAATGAGATGATCCAGTATCCCACTCCACATGCCTCTACATGTATAATACCCTGCATGGTTGAACAGTTACATATGCTGGAAAATAAACAACCAAATGTGACTCCAGATTAGATCGCCTCGGTTTGGGAAGAATTTATAAACGGTTTAATTTATAATCAAATAAAAACTAGTGATGGATAAATGTATATTGGAACGTGTGGTTGAAAATTAATTTTGACCTTTTATAAATGATTTATAAATTTTGTCTTTCATAGAAAGACAATAAATAGCATGATATAGTATGTAATTGATAGTATCCAAATTTGTCTTAGTACTCTGTACTAGAGGCCTTTATAAAACTAAGACTATGGAAAAGGATATAATCACCTATGCAAATCATTATTCAATTTGATAAGGATATAATCACCTATGCAAATCATTATTCAATTTGGTTGGTTCTAAGATCAACATCCCAAATGAAACTACTAATCTATAAGACAGAAATTAAAATAGAGTCAAGCATAGATTGATAGCATGTGATTACTGGTCAAGCTATAGAAATCATAAGAAGATTTGTCTAACTTTAAATCATACCTGCATGTTTGGTCATTAGACTTTAAACAATCGACTGTGTTTATAAGCTATTTAAATTATACATAGTTTGAAATGAGTAGTGGATTAAGTTAATGATATTTATGAATTTCACAAAAATGCGTGAATCAATTATAAAAAGTCTACAAACTATAGATAAACATGGACTTAATACTATAAGTGTTGTTTTCGGATGGTTTTCAGTTTTCAATGTTGTAAAAGATACAAAACTTGTTTGGTTTGACATTTTTGAAAATTAAATTAAATTTATAACATAAAAATTCAAAACATATTTTGATTATGTTTTGAGTGTTTTAAGTGAAAACACTCAAAATACTCCTCCCAATGGCAAATTAAACACTTAAAAATGTACATGTTATTTGATATATTTTAGCATAATTGTTCTATTTTCACTCAATAAAATGTAATAAAACAATCTCCAAAAGTTTCAAACCAAGTTTTCCAATTTTATGTTTGAATTTTTATTATTATTATTATTTTTTTGGCAAAATGATAAATCAAATTCATTTTCTACAATATTAAAACAGTCCCTCAAAACACAAAATTGAAAATGAATTCAAAACTCGAAACTGAAAAGCAAATCAAACCAGGCCTAAGATTTCTAACATCTCAAATGAAACTTAGAGAGCTAATTTGCTATAGATGTATATCATGTAATGTTCATGTAAACTTATTAGTAGCTTACAAGTTCATTTTTATTTGATCAAAGTCAAACATTAATTTAGTTACACATTCATAACTGCTACATTTTTTTTATAACATATTTCATGGGACTCGATACCATTCTTATTATAAATTACTAACGATCATAGACAAAGGACCCAAGGTACTCTATTAATTCTCTATATACACTCATGTTTGGGATAAGTGTGTTCTTTTTATGATGCCCATCTTTCTAAAGTCTGCATTATATTACCTTTTATATCTCTTATTTTACTTAGCCAATTACAATCTCTCTTTTTTAAAACATTATCACAAGAAAGACTAATATTATTTAACTAACAATTGCATGCTTAATAAGATCAGACAAAAGTATAACTCTACCACATAAAACAATAGTACTTGTAACATAAAGATAACATATTAAATTCGAAGAAGATAAGAAAACATAACCATACTTGTCCATGGCGATTCCCACGAAGAAGATAGAGCACAAAAAATGAAAACCAGATCATAATCAGCATCCCCAGCTTTATCAATGGAATATCCAATTTAATTAACCCTGCAGGTTCTTCATTCAACAGAGGCTCTTCTCCTCCATTTTCCGAATTAATGCACAGATTCCTACTTAGAACTTCTGATTCAAGTTTCCAATAAAATATCCCAGATTTGCATGTTTTGAAGGTGGACCAAGCAAGAAAAATTGCAAACAGTATTGTGATAAGCCACTCGGGAAGTACAAGATTGCAGAGAACTCCGATACTCACTCCCAATAACATGCAGGGCTCTGTTAATAGTGTTATGTCGTAATCAATACCGCCATGTTTTGTACTTTTGATGAACATGTGGCAGGCAACATTAGCGATCGACCCTCCGGTGACCATGAATGCTGAAAAGCTTGAGGCTGTTTTAAGGTCCAGACCGGCAACAATGGTGAGAATGGGAATAAAAAGACCACCGCCACCAATTCCACCGGCACTTGAAATACAGGAGGCGATAAAGCATAGAATTCCGGCTACCAGAAATTGAGGTGTTATTTTCATATTGGAATCCTGTAGCCGCCTTTGATGAGTAAAGTTGATAATTTGATTAAAAGTGAGCTTATCTGTTACAGGGTTTGTTGAATTTTCACGAGAAATATCGAAGGTGTTGAGGATTAATGTAAATACGAGGAGCCATTTGAGATTTTTCTGCCCCATTTTTCTGTACTTTTGTTGAGTAATGAAGCTTAAAAACGACAGAAGAAAGGAGATTGATGGGATTTTCTGGGGAAGCGTAGGTTATATAAGACAAACAAAATTACAAGCATTTTTATGCAATTATGAACTTTGCTATTTTTAATAATAATTTACAGCATCAACATCATCATCTGAACCCAGATAGAAGACAAAGAGACAACAGCTCAATTTCATGAATGAGTTTTATTCAATTTTATTTGTAATTAAAAAAATGTTGAACCCCAATTTTGAGGGTCCTCACTATCCGATCCCTAGAGCTTTCTAAGTGAGGTAAATCGCGGGATGTATCCCAGCAGGTCAGGAAATAAGAGTTGTCTGTATACTGCGCCTACAAGGAGTCCAATTTCATGTCTCAGAAATCAAACCCCCATACTGCGGCTGTCAGCAAGGCGTGAAATAACCCCACTCCTATTCTTGCAATTTTATTTGTAATTATTTACACTCTGTATTGTTCAAAATACATTTTTTTGCCTTTTTAACCATACCTTTTTTAATAATATAATATTATTCTAAAATATATTTTCTCCCAAAATATATTATAACGGAGCCCAAACAAGGGCATAGTATTATACTATTTTTTTGTCCGGTTGAGCTAAAAATAAATAAATTGAATAAAGTTTAAATTTCTGTTTGTCCCTATTTTATAAAATTCATGATTTCACGAAATTTAAAACTTTTCAACAGCACATCTCATTAACTTTTATAAAAATCTACAAAAATTTCATTTTTAGTTACACCAAAAGAGGGGCTAAGCAAATTAGATCACACGTGAATGATTCAATATTACTAGTTTTTTGCAGTTGACTAAAATCATATCTATGTAAACACAAACAAACATTTTATTAATATCTTGTCTGTTTAAGAACACAAACAAGCAACCTTACGAACAAATTGAACATTATGTCTCCAACTTGTAAATTTATGAGTAAATTAAAAGAAGAGCAAATTTTACTCGATATGAAAACAATTTTACTTTGTAACTCATTTTCCGCTAACTCTATTAGCCCTCGTTTGGCTCCCATTTTTTTGTAACGAAAATGGGTGAAACAGGTTTTTTTTTTTTTTTTTTAAATGAATGGTTGAAAAAAAAAAGAAAGATTTTCGATTTGATTGTAATATTATTTTATGGAAGATTATGTAGTTGAAAATAAGAGAGAAAAAAATAAAATATAATGAAATGTAATTTAAGGATTAATCTATTTGTACCACGGCCCCCCTACAATAGGGGGTCTCCACTTGTCAATTCGATAAATCATTAAGTAAACCCTTATGTTTTTGTACTATAACCCGTAATTTAAGGAGGGTAAAATGGAGGCTTAATAAAAAATTCATCTTGCAGAATCGTCTGATTGAATTATTATTTTATTTTATTTGTACTTTTTATGTTTTATTTATTTTTGAGTTGGAAGTGATTGGTCATGAGCAAATATCTTTTCAATTCTTTTCAAGGGATTGTAGATGATATATGAAGATATAAAATTACCCATTTACCCCTTATGGTTAATTTTAGATTATTCTTTAGTTAAAATGTAATCAAGAAATGAATTGGATGTGGAATAATGCAATTTCAACAATTTTTTGAGTTGTTTTGCAAAATTTATTCTTAGAAATACTAATATTATATTGAAACTGAAAGTGCAGCTTTGTTAGGCAATTCTATATAGCATAATTAATATTATACCAAAA